TGGTTTAATTTAATATGTCTATATTTAGATTTGCAACATAATATTATATATAAAAATATCAAAAATTAAATTTTTAACTTTTTATTAAATTAAGTATTATTAATAACATTGTTTAATTTATTATTATATAAAACATTAAATATAGTAATGGGAATGTTTCCCACTAAAATACTATTTTTTATATATATTTACATTTATATTGAGACAGAGTCATGCTCTGTGGCTCAGGTTGAGTGCAGTGGTGCAATCTCAGCTCATTGCAACCTCCGCTTCCTGGTTCAAGCGATTAGCCTGCCTTCAGTCTCCCAAGTAGCTGGGATTACAGGCGCCCCCACCATGCCTGGCTAATTTTGTATTTTTAATACAGGATGGGGTTTCCACCACGTTGGCCAGAGCTGGTTCAAAACTCCTGACCTCAGTGACCTGTCCGCTTGCCTCCCCAAGTGCTGGAATTACAGCGCATGGGCCACCGTGCCCAACCCAGCATATTATTGTACCGTTCAATATTTTGGAACGGGTAACATCATGAATCAAATAATAATAATCCTATATAGCATTTATTAATGGTAAGAACTAACACTTAATCAGGGATTGCTAAATGCCCATATATTTCTCAAACAGCTTCGCATTTATTAGTTCATTTAATATTTCTACAACAATGCTCCCTATTTTACAGATGATGAAACCAAGGCTCAAAGAAGTGAAGGATTTTGAATCCACATTTCCAGGATCTCAAATGCCGAACTTGGACGTGATTACTTTGAGGGTCAGAGCAGAGGATGTATATAAAAATATATACGTGTATTTTATATACATATATATTTATATAATCAAAAAGATTATTATTATTATTATTATATTATTTGAGATGGAGTCTTGCTCTGTCACCCACACTGGAGTGCAGTGGCTCGACCTCGGCTCACTTCAACCTCCGCCTCCGGGTTCAAAGCGATTCTCTGGCCTCAGTTCCCGAGTAACTGGGATTACAGGCGGCCCGCTACCATGCCCCGCTAATTTTGTATTTTTAGTAGAGACGGGGTTTCACCATATTGGCCAGGCTGGTCTCCAAACTCCTGACTTCATGATCCATCCGCCTCAGCCTCCCAAAGTGTTGGGATTACAGGTGTGAGCCACCGGCTCCCGGACTCAGAAAGATTTATTTTTAAAAATAGATACCAGCTGTTTATCCTATGTCAGTCATCATGATAGGGCTGTCATGCCTTTTTTTTTTTTTTTGGTTGTCACAACCCTTGCGACCAGATGCAGAAACTGAGGCTCAGAGAAAATTAATGGACTTGGCCCAGAAGACATGCAGTACTATGAAAAAAGTTACCCTAACTCTTAGTAAACTACATGCCACTGTCTATAATAAAAGTTGCCTCCATCACATTATCAATCAGCACAGGAAATAAGAGGCACTCACCATCAGGGGAAATTCAAATCACAACCACAGTGAACTACCACTTCACACGCCCACCTAGCATGGCTATAATAAAAAGACGAACAAGCTGGCCATAGGCGTGGTGGCTCCATAACAGCTGTAAATCCTAGCACTTGGGAGGCCAAGTGGGCAGGATCACTTGAGGTCAGGAGTTCAGACCAGCCTGGCCAACATGGCGAAACCATTCGTCTCTATTTTTAACAAAAATTGTCCAGTGTAAGTGGTGACGGCACACTGTAATTCCCAGCTACTTGGGAGGGGTGAGGCAGGTCTCACTCTGTCACCTAGGCTGTAGTGCAGTGGTACGATCTCAGCTCACTGCAACCTACGCCTCCCAGGCCCAAGCAATCCTCCCACCTCAGCCTCTCGAGTAGCTGGGACTACAGGTGTACACCACCACGCCCCAGCTAATTTTTTGTATTTTTTGTAGAGAGAGTTTCACCATAGTTGTCCAGGCTGGTCTTGAACTCCTGAGCTCAAGCAATCCACCCGCCTTGGCCTCCTAAAGTGCTGGGATTACAGGTGTGAGCCACCATGCCCAGCCTTCAATTTCTTAAAAGTAGATTATTGTATAATAAGAAATTTTCTAAAAACAGATTACTATGAGAACACCTTGTAATGATAAATATTTTTCTTTCACATGGTGAAATCATAACTTACATGTATTTAACTCCCTCAGATTCAGTGATACATGTTCCATGGGGACATGGAGAGAGAGAACAATATAAATAATGCAATGATTCAGCAACCAGGTTCCCTGGAATAGGTGTGAGACGGGATACTGGCATCTGGGGTTCCGTCCATCAATCTCTGTTCCCACATGCTTTTTAGCGAGCATCTTGCTGCTCTACTTATTAATCTGGGTACGTATTTTCAGCCATGTGACCCCTAAAATAAGTCAACTCCTTCATCTTCACCTGGAGCGAAACTGTCAAAACAGCAACTTGTTCTAGGGCTGGAGGCAAAATTGGCTCCAGCGGACCCACTGGGAAGTGGGAGGCATTTGCTATGCTTTGTGGACAATTTAAGAGTTTAAAACGCCATTTTGATGAGCCATGATTTTCATCTTAAGTGCCAACTTTAGAAGATAACCCAATGGTAAAGAACATAATTAGTAAATGCCCCCTTCTGCATTAATACATAGATTGCATGTCACACTTTCATGTAGCAGGTGATGGGACTTCCTGACATTCTTGGGCTCAGCATACAGTCTTTTTATTTCTTTCTCTTTTAGAGACAGGGTCTCATTGTGTCGCCCTAGGCTGGAGTGCATTGGCATGATCACAGCTCACCACAGCCTCAACTTCTCAGGCTCAAGTGACCTCCTGCCTCATCCTCCCAAGTAGCGGGAACCGTAGGCACAC